GGTCTTCTTACTACTTGTTATTTGAACCTACAAAACTTTAAAACAATCATTACTATGCAATCAATATTATGTAAGTTCTCTACAATTTTTTTACATAATTTTCAACTAGTAACAAATATGTTGACACTGTCAATTACCTAAAATTACGAATTTTGAAATTAAAATGTTTTTCTAAAAGGCAAGCGAAGCTTAAGTGTTCCTTCACTGGTTACTTTACCCTAATCCTTACCTACATTTTAAATTTCTCAGCTGAATAATGTTATTAATTACACATTTAATAAGATAGCATTCATTACAAAATGAATTTAAAATGAGAATTTACTTTAGGGCTTCCACCTTGTCGAGTGTAGTGATAAAGAGAAGCATCCCTCTTAACTCCATATTTTGCTAGCAAGGACTCAGGTGTTCCATAGAGCAGCTGATAAAAAGCATGGAAATTCCTTTCACCTCTTTGTTGAGCAACAACACGAGACTAAAATGAAAGTAAAAAATATTATTTCAATATCATTTAAAAACCAAAAAAGAAATTTTTTAGTAGTTTTTTATAATGAGAAAGAAACAAAATGGAGAAATGTTCAGGAGAAGAATAAGGCCCACTCCGGGCTGTCTTGTTAATGTTGATGATGAAGAAACAACACTACAAATGATATGTGATTAGTAGTAGTAGTACTTCATTTTCGTCTCACTAGACCTGCAAAATGTACGCTTGATGACGGTCTGGAAAATATCGTTGCGGATGATCCAAAGGCATGATATCACAATTTTAATCTTCTGAAGAGGAGGTGTCCCCTCCACTAAAGTAGTTTGATAACCTGTGCACAAACTTGAGCAATTTATTGCAGAATAATTTAGTGAGGACTGATATGGCACACACTTGGTCCTTTGCAGAGATTTATGCTCACTGACTGCAGTGATCTAATGAGTACCAGTGATCTTACGATCAGTCTATGGACTGAATTGCGACTTAGACATTAATAACTTCAAACTAAAGAATCTAATAAAAAATATGACAACCAAACTGGCTCATTTTTGTTAAATACTTTTTAATAGTGAAGTGTTGATGTTTTCAACAGAATTAGGTTTTAAAATATTAACTGTCCTTTAATAATTTTGACTATTTAAAGACTTTTTGTATCATCCAGAAAGAAATTTTTTTTATTTATTATGATACTAGTAAACAGTAAAAGTTAAAGAAAAAAGCAATTGTTACTCTTTAAATAAACACTGTTTTAATTAACCTAAACTGATAATAGAGCTTAAGTTTGCATATTTAATTTTACTAAAAGACATGAATATTGTAATACAACTTCCAAATAAGAAATACAACAGTGTTTTCACTACAGCGTGAGAATCTCGCATTAAAAAATGATTACCGCGAGAAATTCGCGCATTCTATAAACCAATTTCAAAATTCGTGAATTTCTCGCATTTTGAAAACAATTTCTCATTTGCGCCATTTAGAATAAAATCTGTTTCACTTTTCTTCCTGGATCTTTTATTATTTTCAACATCTGCCCCATTATCTAGCTTCCCTACTTACCAGTATTGTTCAGAACCTTTAAGAACAACAGAACGCCATCCTTCCGAACCACGGAACCTCTTTCAGAACGCATTTCTCTGCAGCCACGTGTTTACCGTAGGTAAGGCTTCTTCATGTAAGACGTTCAAATTTTTTGCGCCTTAATGTAAGATGGACAAATACCTTGTAAAGCCAATATCTTCTACTCCGAAACGGACAAATGAAAATGAAACAAATGTGGGTAGAAACGATCAAAATGAAACAAATACGCATTTGAGCAACCTAATGAGACTAGCTGATGAAAAAGTAGATGTAGAACATTTTCCATATGATGATGCAGCAAAAATATTCAATGCTTTAAAAATTAGAAGATGTTAAAAATGCATTATAATTAAAGAAATGATTTTTTTTCAAGTCTCTTTGTGTTTTTTTTTTATTTTTTTATTTATTTTTTTTTTTAATTTTTGAAATCTCACTTAATTTTTTGAAATCTCACCCTGTTTTTGAGAAAGGGTGAGAAATTCTCACCCATTTTTTTTTCTGAGATGAAAACGCTGTACAATAAATAAAAATTGCAAGTAATTTTATAATGACCTTTTCTAAAAGATAGTTGCTTATATGGCCACCATAAGGATCTCCTTTAAAATCAAAATTTATGTCCATGTATTTTCCAAATCGACTAGAGTTATCATTTCTGTTTGTTTTGGCGTTCCCAAATGCTTCCAAAACACAATTTGATTGCAATAGTATATTCTTTACCCTGAAAAAAAATTAAAGAATGTAGTAATACTTAAATTTGATAAATACTACATATGCAGACTTACACAAGACCCACAATAAAGCAAAAAATACATTAAACTAAAAGAAAATCAAAATGTGCCAGCAAAAAGAAATTATGATTCACACTTTAAAATTCACATCCTATCTTTTAATCTATTTTAAGTTCAACTATGCATTAACTAAAATTTTAACATTAATCTCTGTAACTAAGCGTGAGAAAGCTAAATTTTCCAAGACCTATTTAATAGATCAATTACAATTACTAAGATTTCACTTATTTCCTGAAACGAAAAATTTTACGGATTTACTTTGCAATATTTTCCCTAACTTTTATTGAAGAGCACAACAATTTTGTGTCACTCTCTAATAATTATTTACGGATTTTACGGATTTCTCTCTCTAATAATTATTAGATAAATATTGTACTCTCTTTCCCTGCCTAAGGCCTGTTTTTATTCTTCTTCTCAGCAACGACGTTAGCAAGGCCGTAGCCAGGATATTTTTTCGGGGAAGGGGATATGGTAAGAAGCAAGGACAGTTTCAGACATGCAAAGTAGGGGAAAAACATTGTTAACAAATATTGTTTATTCTGTTGTTTGCAAAAGTTAAACTAGTAATTAAAAGACATTACATAATAGTTATTTTTCAATTAATA